TAGGATAGAGGCACAGACCTGGAATTCCTGACTCCACGTATAGAGTGTGTGTCTTTCATGCTTGTATAGGTGACAGCTGAAGACCTGCATTCTGATGTCTCGGATGGCCAGTCAGCTCTAATGGAAGTAGACGGGTGTACATTGGAGGAAGATGATGAATTTTTTAGGTTTAATTTTGTGCGGTGCTTAATAGTTTAATGTAAGGATAACCAGAAAACTTTGAATCTAAACAAAGCAGAAGTTTTTGCTACCTTTGGAAATCAGTTGGAATTATAAACCTTCTCTGCATCATAAAGACACCATACAGCAGAGGATTTCAGCGCATTCATCCTGTGAGAAGGCCCTTTGGGTGAAGGTGTTTGTATTTTTTTTTGAAGCAGCATGAGGAGGATTTGTTTTTGGACTAAAATACTGTTCTCTTTTAGACTGAAATGTGTCTTACTGAATTGTTTTTGGCTTAGTCATCTTTATCCTGAGAACTAAAATCCAGAACAGAAGGATGTTAAGGCAGGTGTATAGGGGGCGGCTATTGAGGAATGAAGCAAAAACAGGGCAAAAGGAGTAAACGTATGTGAAGAAAGTGAGAGGAATGAGGAAGGTAGTGGTGGGGAAACAATAGTGATGGGAAATAATTCAATACTGATTAGGCTTTCTTTTTGTGTGTGATTGAAATAACACTTGAATTCCTATCTGCTGATGGAAAGGGATGAATTATTTTATAACTCTGGGGCAAATCACCTTAAAATCTTTCTCTTAAGTGAAGGTTATTATGCGATGATGTGTGTGAAGGAATTTTCTAAATTGTAAAGTGCTTAAAACATGTTGGAATTATTAATAAAAGTAAAGTTGAATTGCTATGATTGGTCTTGTGCCTTGAGTGTTTTTACTAAAGTAAAATCAGTGGGAGGGGGTTATATGAAAATTGATGATCTTGTGGACCTCTTGGCTTCTCATGAAGAGTTCAGCAAACATTTGTTTAGGGCCTACATGTGTCAGGTGCTTTTGGGACCTGACAGGTGGTACTAAGATCGGTAAGTCGGTTCTTTACCTTAAGATGCTTATGATTCAGTACTGAGAAGACAGGCCCACAAGTAGGCAGTTTCAACTGCTTATGAAAAATGACCAGATAGAATGTTTGTGCAGGGTGCAGAGGGAATATAGAGAAAGGCTTTTATCCCAAGATGGGCTTTAAGAAAGGAAGAATGTCTAAAGACGAGCCTGAACTGCAGGTTAAAGGACATCTGAGTAGTTAGAAGAAAAGGTGGGACTGTGTCCTAAGCAGAGGAAACATTTTCAGTGAAGGCTTGGAAAGGGGAGGCAAGGAGTGGTCTGGAAATGACTGGCAGGACTCTTTGGCTGAGAATTGTGGTTTTATGACTCACTGAGTGAACGGTACTGAGAAAATCTACAAGAGAGGCAGGCTTGGTGGGGAGAACAATGAGTTCAGTTGTGACCATGCTACATTCAAGGTGCGAGTGAGCTAGCCATGGGAAGGAACATTAGCAAGTCCGTGCATACACAGGAGAAGTTCAGGGGAGGAGTCAGGGCTAGAAATTTGGAATTGGAAATGATCAGAATGTAAATTAAAATCACTCAAAGAGGGCATGCATATCAGAAACAGAGCCGTTTTGTGAGCACCTATTTTTGAGGTATCCACAGAGGATGAAGAGCACTTGATCAACACTGAGAAGAAACGGGGAATGAAGCAGACCCGAAGAGAGGTGTCAGAGATCGAGAAAAAATGGCCTGGAAAGTGGCAACTGGAATAGCAATACGAAGGCTGCTTTCAGCAGAGTGATGAGGGTTGGAATCTTCTTCGTTACCTTCCCCCTACCTCAGCGTTTCCCTAGCTTGCATGCTTTATTTAGTTTCAGGTGTGCAAAACAATGTAATAGACATTTACACCCCTCACAAAGTGATAATCCCCCTCCCCCAATCTACTACCCCTCTGACATTGTATATACCTGTTAAAATACCACTATTTCTTATGCTGTACTCCACATCCTGTGACTACATATATATATATATAAAATTATAGTTGATATTTATTATTCATCTCAAGTGTATACTTAAAGAATAAAATAATGAGCAAACTAATCAGAAACAGTCTCAAAGCTATAGAGAGAACACGGTTGCTAGATGGGAGGGGGGTGGGGATGAGGGAGAAGGGGCGGGGCTTAGCAAGCACATCTGTAACCACAAGATTGTCATGGGGATACCAAAAACTTTGGGGAAAATAATCAATAATGTAAAGATTTGGGAGGGTATCCGATGGACACTTGTCTTATTAGGGAGACCACGTCATGGATGGTATAGATGCCCCTAGCTCCTTAAACCGAGATCTGCTGACCTCTCTCCTCTCCCATCTCGCCTCTTCCGCCCCCACACCCAGCCCCAAACACACTCGTCCATAAACATTAGCACTGTTGGCCCCATCACTGTTGCTGGATGTACTGTGTATACTTCGTTTATAAGCTAGGGAGGAACATGGTTTTGTTAGGGTCTGCAGAAACACGAGGCAAATATCAGGGCCACCAGTATGGGTTACAGGAGTGGAAGGAGAGCATGAAACTGGTCCAGTCCTGGGTGTAAGGATGGGTGAGGCCAGAACATGAATGGAGCTCATGTCACAGCCTATGAATGAGCCGAGATCAGGGACTGCAAGGATCAACTTATTATCTGCATCCAGAGCCCTGAACATTCCTTATGGAATTTCTTTTAAATTCCCAGGAGCTTGCCTTCCATGTGTGCTTCTCTTAAAAGTGCTTATCAGCATCTGATACCAGCATTCATCCAAGTCTCCTTGCTGTCTAGGAGCTTTTTGGGCTTGATCTCGGGCATCTTTGTTGCTCCTAAATTATACTTCCCTCCTTCTGTTTCCTCATTGACTTAACAGTTGATAAGACTAGGCTTTTTCTTGAAATCCTTTCCCTTAGGTCAGATTGATTAATTTTCTAGGATCCAGCTTCCCTTGTAGAAGAACCAGGTCCATGTTCTGACCCCAGTGTGGTGGCTGGGCTTTCTGTAACCAGTTTCATTTACGCCAGTGTTGTTTTCCTTGGTGGTGGGGAGAGAGAGAGAAGAAGGGAGGGAGGAAGGGGAGAGGGGGGGGAGGGGGAGGGAGAGAGGGAGAGGGAGAGAGAGAGAGAAGTTCTACTCTCCATAGATCTGAACAATGCCCACCTGCCCATCCACCCACCACATTGGATTTTGTGCCCTTCCTTCCTGTTGGGAGAGTCCGAGACACTGCTGGGCATCTACACTGCACTGACTGCTGTGCCTCATTACGATGGAGTCAGCTCTGCAGTCCTGGTTGGCTTTCCCAGTCCCTGTGTCTGTATACTTCATGGCTTTTGATCAACTCTTTCTCCTTCCTTGCTTTTCCATGATCATTTCTTGTTAGCAGAGTCTCCTGGAAGAAAACAGTGTGGCAAGAGATTGGTCTTTTCTTCTCTCCTCACTTCTCCTTTGCTTCAGCTAGTCTTCTATCTATTTTCAGAACCACCTGGGACACTGAGAATTTGAAATACCAAGGTCAAGAAGGAGGAATGAATTAATTGTTTTCAAATAAAAAGAGAATAATTGTCATTTGAAAGGCAATTATTTTCTTTTAATCTAACTTTTTCCCCCCTAAAGACCTATCAGAGTCATGATAAGTATTTTAGTTGCATGATTGAAAGCGGTGAAATTGTTCTTGCGAGTGTGAAGTGTGTTGTAAAGTCTCATACAATCCTCCAAGCCATTCAGCTTCGTTTATCAGGACTGCTCTATCCGAGTGCAGGCTCAGAACTTGGAAGAGGACGTTTGCTATATGTATAAGACCAAGATGGTTTTGCAATATATTTTTCTATTTTCTTGAATGTGCAAAATTAAAACAATTCTGGAGAAAGGATACTCTCACCAGATGAGTTTTGCTTTCTCTTCTCAGAAAATTAGAACCATATAATCCGTTAACTTGTGTTTCTCACCAAAACGTCCGGATATTTGAGCTGAATTTAATATGCAGTTTGCAGGAATTCTTTCATTTTAGGTGCCTAATGACATCTGCTTCTCTGCTCATTATAACAGATTATTGTTCCCTTTTTATTGTCTGATTTTATAGCTTTTAATTGCATCAGCGATGGGAAATCCTTTCGGAAGCAGGTGGGATATAAACGAACATATATCTATATGAAATTAAGATGGCTTTGGTCACAAGATGGAGACATTGAAATGTTGCTGTAGTGGTTTTTTGATAGTGTGTGTGTGTGTGTGTGTGTGTGTGTGTGTGTGTGTGTGTGTGTGTGTGAAAAATCTCCCAAATAGAGAGGAATCTGAACACGCTTATTTTTTGAAGAGGAATGAATATGTTACCCTAGTGAAAAGGTCTTAATCCCAAACAACCTAACTAATGAAATATTTAGAAGCACTTAGTGCTTTTAAGCAAATATCTTATTCTGTGTCCCAAGGGAAAGTAATTAATCTGGGTGTAGAGTGTTCACTTGTTTTTCATTTTTATTTTTGACCAATAGAAACTGTGAGGATGGGTATATGGGCTGCTTTTATGGCAAATCATCAGTTTACAGACTTGGAATAAGTGGTGTCAGTGCATTACTGGAGGAACCGATTAAAGACACACTTTCTTAATAAGCCGATTGAAAATATCTGTTGCTTGATTTACAGTGATTAAAATAGAACATTTAAGCCTGCAAATTGATGAAATCTTTCAAAGAAGTAACCTAATGAGAGGGCCTATTATTTTTTGTTGCTGCCTAATTGTAGGATGTATATTGACACAATTCATATACAATTCAAACAGCATAGCACCCTTTATTATCAATGCAAGGAGGTTTTAACTATTACAAATCTCTCAACTTGTTCATTTGGATACTACCTTTAAAGTTAACCCAACTACCTTTATTATATTGAAATCAAGGTTAATCCAGTGTGGTCAAATAATCTTATATCAGAACCTTAAAATCTAATGAAGTCTTTGTATGTTCTGTGTGCTTTGGCTACAGCCCTACCACTTATGTTTTGGATGAAGATGAACCTCGATTCCTTGAAGAAGTTGATTACAGTGCAGAAAGTAATGATGAGTTAGATGTTGAATTGGCTGAAAATGTAGGAGATTATGAACCTTCTGCTCAAGAAGAAGTACTTTCTGACTCTGAATCATCAAGAACATACCTACCTTGAGCCCTCTGCTATCTCTTGTAAATACAGAGATGAAATGAAATATCTGGGTTGTTGTTACACAGGAGATTTGAGAAATGAATTTATAGAGCTGACTCAGAAAGACAAAAGGAATTTTGGGCCTATTTGGTTTTAAGACAATAAATGTGTTATTAATTCATAATAAAATTGGCACTTGTTTTATTTTAGCTATTTAATGCACTTTACATAGTATTTAATTATCAAATATTGGATTTACTTAAAAACCTGAGTGTTATTGCATGGTTTTTTATCTCCTCATGGTTATATCTTGCATCAAATGGATAATTTTGAAGTGTGTAAGAATATAAAATCTAAATTCTAGAGTTGTTGAAAATTCTGAGATTTTGAAAACTAATATATATATGTACATGGATTTCTATAGATATGTCTGTATGGGGGGTGGGTAGGTAGTGAAGATAAGACTGTTCTTCAGAATCATGTTAACTGTTGAGTTGTGACTGAAATAATCCAGAGTTTGCCTTGAAATCATTACATTCTACATTTACCAAAATTAAACAAATAAAAATTATATTAAATGTTGCATTCATTTCTTCATCCTTTTTAATCAGTTCAGATTCTTGGTTTATAGACTCTTTGTGGAAATATTATAAAAATCCAATATCTGAACACATGGATAAAAATATGTAAAAAAAATTGTTTAATTTACTGGTGTTAAGTTTTTTATAGTATGGGTGGGTATACCTCTACCTATCATAAAAGATGTATTTGAACAGCTCTTTTGTCTAAAATTGTGTCTCATGGGTACACCTAAACTTTATCACTCTAGTCAATTTGTTAAGAGGCTTTAAAAATGCAGTGAGGATGTGATCCAATGTTAAACGTGTATTTGTATATAAACTTTAGCATATCCTGAGTTGTGCTGTTTTCAGACTTACTGAAGTGAACTCATTTAGGGCATGTTGACACTGTATCTGAATACTAGATGACTTCAGCGAATTGAAGCCACTTTTTGTAGTGACATCTTCCCAAGTTTAAGCTGTCTGCTGCAGGAATGGCTTTGTTTTCAAATAAAATAAAACAAGTCCAGGGCTTTTGGATAAGCGCTTTCAGAACTAAGTTTCCGTCGTAACAAAACAAATCCAAAAAGATACCTCATTAAACAGATTCTTGCCAGGACTCAGGTGCTTAGGTTTTGGCACATTATCTTTGCTTATTCCTGATTAGATTTTTTAATTTTTTTTTTCTTTTTAAAGATTTTATTGGGGAATTGGGGAAGGGGAACAGACAAGTTGCTGTCCTTTTGTTTTTCAGTCTAGTTGTGGAGGACGTTGCTTCACTGGCCCATGTTGGTATTATCATTGCGCTCTTCCTGGGTGAGGCAGATCTGTCGCCGGCCTCTGGACAGCCGCTCACGGCAGCTCTTGGCAGCTCACACCAGCTGCCAGCCGCTCACGCTGGCTGCCAGCCACACATGGTAGCTTATGGCAGCCCACTGCAGCAGGGGCTGCAGCCTATGCTGTCGCCGGCAACTCATGGCCATCCAGCTCCAGGTCAAGCTGTTGTTCACCATCTTAGCTGTAGAGGGCAGTGTCATTGGCCGCCATGTGGGATCCGAACTGGAGTCCTGCTGCTCAGAGGTGGCGTCCCAAGCCAGCTCTTAACCAACATACCACCCGGCCGGCCCATAGATTTTTTTTAATTTTTAAAAAAAGCCTGTAATGGAAAGAAATTATAAAAGTATATTTTCAATTTTTCCATTTTCCAAATCAATGATTTTCATTGTATTATTTGAGATATTTCATCTACAGTGTAGCTTCGTTTTGGTGTCCTGGGAACCATGTTTAAGAACATAACATGAGGCAGTTGACAAAGAGGTCTTTTTCTCTAAATAGTCTAATTCTTATTAAGCACAGAAAATAAAGAGTAAATAGACTGTGAGGTTGAAGAAGACATCTTAGTATGTGGTGACTTAATTGAAGAGAGATCAGGATACTTTAACAAGGTAAAGGATTATTTAATAGTTTACCTAATAATTTATAATTATAAAGTAATTTATTAATATATTTTATATATAAAATAGTTATATTTAATTTTATAATTTATTCAGAGAGTAGATTATGGAGCCACTGTGTGCATATTGTGAATTTTTCTTGGTTATTACATTAGAAATTAAAAAGCAAGGTAGTCATTATGAAGAGCAACTAAAGTTACTAAATATAATGTGCAGAATAACTTAAAACTTTGATTTATTATGTTTTAAGTGTAAAAACTCCTTACTATGTAGTGTTACAATATTTATATTAATGAAGTTCATCTTTTAGCATGTTACAAACCTGAATATGCCTTTTATTAAATAATTATAAACAGGATTAAAGAGACAGTCTTCATGGTTAGGGAATTATTTTTTTTCTTAAATAATAAATAGCTTTGGAAAAATAAATAACTTAAAATTCTAACTTTCCTAAATAGGGTAAAACTAAGTTTCATTGATTATTAGTAGCTAAAATTGCCCTAAATCTTACCTCTGTGGCTATGTCTTTTCAGGATTTTCAAAGAATGATTTAGATGACTTCAGTGCCGTAAGCCTGAAAATTAATGTGTAGCTGATAAACTGAGCCTAACAATGGAGTTTAGATTTCATTTACCTTGTATTTGGAACTGTGAATTTCTGAAATGTAGTTTTAGTCTAACCCACTGGTTCTCAAAACTGTATAGTTTGTGTCAGAATCACGTGGAAGATCTGCTTCTCAAAACTGAGATTACTAATTATGTAGATCTAGGGTGGGCCCTCCAAATCTGTGTTTCTTAAAAAATTCTCAGGTAGCGATACTGCAGGAACCACACTGTGAGAAACACTGGTATGATCTGATGTGTTCTTTCAGTGTCACAGCTTACAAAGATTCAGAAGACCTATGAATTGGAAATTAGCACCAGAATGATTTAGATCAGACTAATCTGTAGAATCAAGAAAATAAACACACAGAGTCACAGGATCACTGGGGTAAAGCCAGGGTTTTAGCCCAGGCCTCCTGACAACTAGCCTCCCATTGTTACCACAAAAGGAGACGCTGCCCTTTGCCTGTCCCCAAAGAGTAAGGACTGTTAAAAGCTCAAGGTCTCTCCTGAGTTTGTGAAATTTATTCAGGCAAGGCAGGATGCAAATAAGGTCCAAGTTGGTTTTTCCTTCATTGCAGTCACACTGTTGTCTGAATACAAGATTGTCCTACATTAATGAGCCTCTGCCTCTTTTTCCAGTTTTTGTGTGGTATCTGGAAATGTGGACATTGTCTGAATCCTAATAACAAACAATTGACCTGGAGTTCCACCTCAGATAGCGTACTAACAACAATTAATGCAATACTTCTAAATTTCAAATACCCAAATTAAGGTGACCATTTTATTATGAGCGCTGAAATGGATAATACAATAAATGTACTAATGGAATTGTTTTTGTGCATGATCCAGAAATAAATGACAGTAATGAAACTATAAATGTATCTTTATAAATCCTTTTGTTTCCCTTTGTGTACTTGAATGATAAAATATTAATGGAAAATCAGTGAATTTTTCTCTTACTTTAGTGAGAATTTAGTAGCCATCTGTAAACCTTAGTTCTCTCCATTAGGAAAAACCTGTTGAAGCAATATTTTAAGTGAAAAACTGTTTTGCTTTACACAATAGAATGTTATTAATGTTAAGTAAGTATTTCTCTGGTTAGAGTGTATTTAAATTCCTTCATTGAAAAAAGGAAACTCAGAAACAAGTCTCACTTTCTTTATGAGAATTAATGTTTTGAAAGGGCCCCTCCCTGAAGGGGTGGTTCCACCCACAGCACATGTCCTGAGAGAAGTTAAAAGAAAGAGACACGTTATTTTACTTAGAGACACTGAGAAGGCAAAAACAGCAGATGGCTGCTCAGACATGTCAGATAAACTAATTTTTATTTTCTACCTACTGGAAAAGTTTACTGGGCCAGAAATGAACCATATTTTTGTCATTGCCCACTCGAAATTCAGGGATTATTTCTTCCAGTCATGAAGCTTGTCAATGGTTTCAGAGATATTATTGGCCCAAGTGCTGACTTTTCAGCATCTGGAAAATTCTCTACTAGTCATGAAGGACACAAATGTGCAATATTAATGTTGAAAGTGAGGACCTCTTTTTTTTTTTTATTAAAGATTTTTATTGGGGGAAGGGGAACAGACAAGTTGCTGTCCTTTTGTTCTTCAGTCTAGTTGTGAAGGACGTTGCTTCACTGGCCCAAGTACCATCATGGCACTCTTCCTGGGCGAGGCAGATCAGTCGCCGGCTTCTGGACGGCCGCTCACGGTGGCTGCTGACCGCTCACTCTGGCTGCTGGCTACATACAGTAGCCCATGGCAACCCACTGCAGCAGGGGCTGCATCCTATGCAGTCACTGGCAACTCACAGCAGCCCAGTTCCAGGTTGAGCTGTTGTTCAGCATCTTAGCTATTGAGGGCAGTGTCACTGGCCCTCATATGTGGGTTCTGAACCGGGGCCCTCTGGTGTCCCAAGCCAGCTCTTAACCATCGTGCCACTCGGCTGGTCCAGAAGAACCTCTTTAACGAGGCATCGTAACAACATGGATCTAGGGAGCTAGCTGAGGGATCAGAGACCCCTTTGTTATGAGTTACATCAATTAGAGCATTGGGCAAGTATAATGGGATGAAGTTTTGGTATTACAGTTACCCATTTTAAAGCTATTGCCATCCACCCACTGATTGGAACTGCAAATCCATGCCTTTTATCCACACAAGATTGATAAAGAGCATTTAAACAGCCCTTTAAAGAAGTGCATCCCTAAAAGTTAACTCCTTTGAGTATCTTGAAAACACTATTAATAAACAGACATCATTAGCATTTTCATGTAATTTTTTTTTTTTTAAGATTTTTATTGGGGAATTGGGGGTATGGGAACAGCGCTGGGGAATTGGGGAAGGGGAACAGACAAGTTGCTGTCGTTTTGTTCTTCAGTCTAGTTGTGGAGGACGTTGNCCCCTTAGCATCTGTCAGGCCAGTGGAGCAGACTGACAGCACATCTCGTGTCACAAAGCATTTCTTCAAAGTGGTAAACACACATACAATCCATATTGTGTTTTAAGGAGACAATGGTTCAAAGGATTTTCTGGGCTATTTTTAACATCGAAGTCTGGAAGGAAAATGATGTCACATTCTGGGAAAAGTGTCCAGATATTCCAACAGACCACAGCAGAAGAATTCTGGTTTTTATTTGTTTCTCTCAGAGTTGGGATCACTCAAAAAAGGTGAGTTTTAAACCTCTTATTCCAAAAAGCTTTTCAGCTTGAACAGTGCCTGGAGCAGCTTTCTCTCCTGCGGTTTGTCAAACAGACATGAAAGCTCTTGCAAGCCAGGAGCCTGGAAGGCAGTGGGTGAGCTGGTGGCAGGGGAGGGTGGTTCTTCTCCTGATAGCAGATGGACCTCAGATTCCAGAGGAGCAGAAAGCCAGCCATGTTAAAATCAGAGCCAAAAAAAAAAGAAAAGGGTCTTATTGGGATTTCCTGCCTCTGCTGTGCAATCCTGAACAAGTTACTGAACCTC